ACGCACAGCGTCCCCTTATGCGAGCTAACCCCCAACAAACGTAAACCACTGCTTTTAGATGTAGGTGGTGTGGGTCAGTTACCGATTGTTTTTGTTCCGAAACATTTGCGCGGAGTCCGATCACCCACTTATGTGTTGCTTTTTCTCGCTGTGTTTCTCAGCAGCGTCCAAGTTGCGCAAACCCAGCACGGGCAATTCGAAGCCCTCAATCCCTAGTGTGAAGCCTGCTTATCAAAATCATCTACTGAAAAAAATCGTTCAGCTGTGGCACACTTTCGGTGCCTAACCTCTGTGTCTCTAGAAAGAAGCACAAGGGAGAGGATACTGCCAAGTTGCCCAAGCCTAGACAAGGGAATTCGGGGGGGCAGAGGTCGCGTCAGACCATGGATATTCTGGCCCTAGCAAATAAGCCGCCGCACCTCCAAGCACCCACTAAAATCCATTTCTGATCATGTGTTTCTGATTCTGTCTGCTACTAAAAAGTACTGTCCACAGCGCTGCAGGATTCTGGGCACTCCGCCGGTGGAATGGAAATTGTGGGCATCCCTGAAGTTTAACTCTTTTTACGTATGCTTTTGGGAGACTGTTTATAATTTTGCTCATCAGAAAGTTTTTACAAATGTCCGTGGCATTATCTGGTAGGCACGTGTGTCAATAATGACTGAAGGGACAAACATGGAATACTAGAATTGTGGGTCACTTATGCAAGCAGCGTTGCTCTAGCACTTGATGAAGTGTGGAAGTTCGGGTCACGGAACCCCTACAAATCGGTATCCCGCTTGCTACTTCCGAGACAATGTCTCATGAGTCACCGTTAATGATCGCAGAGCAAGCCTCATTTCGACCGTTGTCAATATGATTTCCTGTGGTAAACACACTCACTGTGAGCCTCTTTTATTAAAATGTGCGCCATCACCGATTCCTCAGTGACAGGATGGGACAGACTGCTTTCCTCAGTGCAAGCGCCAACTACGTACTTCAACCATTTATTGAACAACGCCGGTGAGAGGTCATCCGTACCAGAAGATCGATGGCGCTTGAAAGAACAATGCAGTCTGAAAACCTCCGAGTCCGTAGGGAGTTCCGAATTCAGTGTCCATGGTTTTACGTCTTTTGTTGTCTCCAGATGAGTGGCAACTTTTGGCGACGACAATTGTTTTTCGAAGTATTCGCCCAACCTGTCGAGGCGTTAGTTATTCAAGATGTTCACTCTCTTTCGATCCTGGCTGGTTTTGCCGACAGATGTTTTTCGAGGCCGGTGGCATGGATCAACTGGAATTATCTTCCTGGCATTACCAACTTTCTGGGCCCCGACAATTTCTTTGGCTTTCTATGCCAAATAAACAACATGGGTTTGTGGCACGCTCGCTTTCACGTGACGTCTGATAATTTGCTGCAACAAGTTATATACGGAACTGGCTGGGATACTTCTCCAAGATTTGAGTAATACTGCCATATGGGTTGATACCTAGTGCTTAAAAACACTTGGTGGGGCCATGCAACATGCGAAATTCTCAGCATTATGTTTAAGGTGGCATTCTTGTCTCAGTAGGAATTCATACCTGAGGGCGAGGCATTTGAAGATGTTCCGATAGGTTCGTCTAAAATTCGGAACTGCCGGGTCTTCTGTTTGCAGGCGATTTTTCGCACATTATGCGCTGTGGAAGTGACCCTGAACGAGCACGTGGTCAGGATCCACAAATGTTTTCCAAAGCAACCAGCCGTCCGTCACTGATCCGGCAGCTTACATTAATGTTTTCATGGCCAGCATATGGTTAGAGGATATCATATTACCAGACGGCTTCAGATTTTCCTGGAGTTAGTACTACATAAAAAGCTTGTGTTTTGCATGCAGCTGAATCAATACTTCCCCAACGTCCGTCCGTACTGAGTTCGATCCATGCCGAACGGGGTGTAAAAAGTGCATGAAAGAGGAAGAAGGGAGGCCTGAACAGTAGCCTGTTTTTGCTTACTCGCCCTGCTTTACACAGCGGGTAAGGCGACTAGGCACAACGCGACGGCCGATGTGACCGTGTCTGTGCAGTTCATTGTTGTACATGGGCTGGGATACTGTCGTGACGCCCACATCTATATAGGAATGGTCCTTGAACAAATCTTTGGCTCAAATGTCTGATCGCAAAGCAGCGGTGTTTGGCTGAAAATGCAATGACGTTACCATTTTTACGGAACACGGCGCCACACATGTCTAAACTCCTAACCTGGGAAATCAGGAGGCTATGTTCGTCAGACCTTTAACCATTGACCAACCTGGTATGGGAGACTGCGTGGACACCCCAGTGTAGCTAAATGGGTCACTGAGGTACACAAACCATCGCACCAGCCTCTTCGTGATGGCGTAATACCATAGATGAGACTGTGAGTGGAGAAGAAACTTTAGGGGGTATCCAGCGGCCCCCCGATTCAACAGCGTCACCTGAGACATCAGGCAATAATTGCATATCTTGGAGTAGCGAGCGCAGCAGGAGCCACTCGTCCCACATCTATTATCTGCATCCTAACTGTCCCTGTGAGATTAAGTGTCAGCTAACCTCTGCTCCATAACACGGAAAACAGAGGCGACAGTCGAACGAGTAACGCCCTCAAGGCGGTACCCAAAGTCAAGCCCCTCAAAATAAACGAACACCGTCGATTAGACGGCCACGAGACAGATGTGTATTCTGATTGGTCCGAATATAGGCCAATCAGAATCTAATGATTTTAGCTTGCCCTTCTGTCTCAAATGAATGATCCCGCTCTGTCGTGGGAAGTTCTGTGAGATTCCCATAGTAGTATAGTCATCTTCGTTTTTGTCCACAGAAGGCCGTATCAAGCACCGTGCCTTTTCATAGACATTACTTGGTGGAATAGCAAGCCAAGGACCTAACATAAGTGTTTGAAAAGGTATTGCAACACCCCAGTAAACACACCACCGGTGGCTAAAAGCGGCCAAAGGTGGCTACCCAAAAATCTCGTGATATATTTAATCGGCGGTGCGTTCAAACAAATCGGTTTCAAAAATTACTTCGTAAATAGAACTCCAGTATCCAGATTACCCTGGCACTTTTGTTTTCAGAAGGCTTTTATGCAACAAATGCTATGTTTGACTTGTATTCACCAACAAAATCAGTGGCAAAGCTAGCCACCTATGGCCACCTTTAGCCACCGGTGGCACTGTGTTTACTGGGACGTTGGTATGATTCTTCTGGCACCATCATTCGTTCACTCACCCTTTGAAATAATTCAAGGGAATATCACTATTACCACCTTATCGATTTCTATTCATGTGTGCATTATTTCCTGTACGACAGCGCTTAGTGACTTGCGGAGAACACTAATTCAGCCGTCCGTATTGCCCTTGACAGTCTTTCATACCTGTCGGTAAGGGACATGTGCTGTTTAGTCAGCTTAATTCTGACGAAATCCTAGATCTCAAGGTTAACCACGACGAAAGACCCGGATCATGAGAAGGAATACGTCGACTTTTTCGTAACCAAAAAAACTCTGGTCGCACACGAGGCCAGCGCTGACAGACATGATAAAAAGCTCTTGAAGCTAGTGGAGCATACGACTCAGGCAATCCTAGCTTTCTTTGCTGGATGCGTTACTTGAGGCAATGGTCCTCCGCTTAATTGGAAACCATATCCTGATCACCCGATTGAAAACTCGCTAGTTCCAGTCTATTCCAGCTGTAGATCTGAAACGTCGGTCTAAAAGACCTGAAACTGTTTCGGATACTCCTCATGAAGCGGCCAAGTCTTGCGGTACGCTATTTTGTTTACACATCGTTTGAAACCCAGTAAGATTCCATTTTGACGTCAAAATTGGCGCAAATTGGCGGATGAAATTCTGCCTTTCATATCCTCATGTTCACTTTGTCCGTTACACTACCGTCAGAGCTGAGTCAACTCCCAAGGTACTTATAGTATCAACAATAGTGGAGAGCGGACATCCTTGTCGGAAACCACTGCTTATAATAAAGCTTTTGGAAAACTTACCCTTACAATCACGCGGCCAAAATTGTGATCAAAGACATGGAATTCACGGAATTCTGGAACATGCTTTGTCGCGCAAGTTTATTCGGAAGAACTAACCAGTCAGCAGGATCGAGCGCACTAATACTTGGCGGAGTGTGAAGATGTGGTCCACACAGTCTCCTCCCGCCCGGAATCCTGCTTGCTGTTTTCGGATCTTTTTTACGCGCACCTTCGCAAAACGACAGAAAATATGCGATGCAGAGCCTGGTCCGTCAAGAAGGGACGACCATACTATGGTGTAACGGCTTGTGCCCCTTTGGCTCATTGAGCAATACTGGGAGTGTTCATGTGACACTCGCAGGGTCTTATGTCTGGTTGATCAATGGTCAAAGGCCTGACCAATACGATTTCCTGCCCTTCCAGATTAGGGCTAGAACATGTGTTAAGACTTGTTCCATAAAAATGGTAATGCACTTGCATTGACTTTGATGGACGACCCTAATCGTTCTCCTGTATGGGTCTGGGCAGCCTGGGCTCGAAATAGCTGAGTGATGAAGGCAGCGGCTTACGGATATGAAGGTCCGTAGTTCTAACCCATTTTGAGCGCCTCGACTGACCCTGTATATGCTTGGGCAATCTGGCAGTATCCCAGCTCCTGGTATCCCAGCTTCCTGGTGGAATGACAGCTAGGCACCGAAAAGGTGCGATCTGTCTTTTCATTCCTGGGTACCCTGGCAGTGTTCTTGTTCTCGTCTCCGAAGAGCAGAATAGGGCACATAAATTTTCGATGGTCTGACCAAATTCATGCTGTCTTTGGTATTGGATTTTTCACCCACGAATTCAAGACCATACTTTTAGACATGCAGTCACTAAACACACCACTTACAAATCATGAAGGGGCACTTGAAGTTGTGGGGCGTTTTTCGTATCTTGCAAGTTATATTAGCTCCAAGCGTAGTGTAATAGATGAGGTCAATATGTGAATCTCTAAAGCTTGGGTCGCTTTGGCTAATCTTAGATGACTATATGAAGGAACGTGTATCAAGTTTCAGTATGACAGCGGAACCGAGACGTCTTCAGGTCTTCGACCACCATTATCTCAGAACTATGGCTGGTGTGGGCTTTTGTTAGCGAATCCGTAACGAAGCAGTTAAAAAAATGAGTATTAGACTTTGTAACCGGGACATCAATGGAAGATTATGTCTAGCGTAGTAGTTGCGCTGTGTAAGTGATGCACTGCGCATTTCAAACTGTCGTATGAAAGGAGTTACGAGAAGGTTAGCTGCTGCCTTCTAGGATGGTTTTTGCGTAGATTTCACTGTGTCTCGTTGGAGGCGCTGAGAAATGTGGCTGCTAATCGATGTGAGTGGAGTTCCTGTTGTCATCTATCCTGATTGCCTGGTTGGGCGTCTTGAGTTGTAGGCACTTGAGGCTGATTGTGTAAGGATAGAACTTAGTCTCTTTAGCATCTGCTTTTATCCTTCACAGTAAGGCTTTCCAATGAATTCTGGCTGCGTGGCATTGAGTCATCAGTGTTGATTATTGATCCCGTGCTGTTTGTGGTGGTGATAACGAGTGACTCCGAACGATAGAGCAGCCGTGTCGTAATCTTCTTTATGCTAGCACGCAAACTCTTTATCAAGTAACCACAGAAAACTTATTTTTGGAAGGCTTGGACTGCAAAAAAGGGGGGCTACTAATAGCGCTAATAATCCGTTCATTTGGGTCTTAAACTGAATCGTTGCAGCAGTCTACATATGAAATCATCTCAGCTATTCAGCTTCAATCCACCGGTTCCATCCACTACGAATCCTTCGATGTAACCCATCATCATCGGCTAATGTTGGAATGGTTTAAATGCACGAATCAGTAAATCTAAAATCATATTACTGGTTATGGGGAAATGTTCACGCCCAGCAGATTAGCTGGTGGCGTTTATTAGAAGATGATGTCCTGGTCACTTACTTCTGGTGCCCGTATCTTCATGGTATGTCTCTTCAGCATTTCTACTCTCAGCACATTGTTCACTGTCATGTCCGATTTATGATGTGTTTACTTAGGTTACACTGTTTTTACTATAAGCATTTTTATCTTGATGCAACCGTTTTACTCTCACTTCATTCTGTATGTCTTCAGAGGCACGCAAGGTTGGTTCATCCTATAAACTGCTTTATTGATTTCGAACTGTTGCAGAAACTGCACGCCTTCTCCAGCTTCATTGGGAGGTATGTTTTCGTTTGAAGGAAACTATCGAACGAAGAAGGTTCAAGTGTTCGACAGGACTGAGAAAGTAAGTCGTGCAATTGGTTTTAGCGAAGGGGGTTGATCTTTCTTACACAATGCTCTTATTTTGCCCTGTTCTTGTTATGCCCCGGTGTACAGCTGCGGATTGATGTGATGAGCTACAAAAAGTTGGTGTTGATTGATTAGCCAATTTTTTCACGCAGTTCTACATCTCACTTCATCATTTTAAGTGAATGTCAGCACGGCTATGCATCTGACGCTGCATCCTTTCATGGGAGCATCTTAAAATGTTTTGAGAAATTCATGTTTCCTCTATGTTACTTTCCAGTTAGTCGTCTAATAACCTTCCTGTACATGAAAACGCATCTGGACTCGTTTCATAAACACGTATGCTGGATACCACCCATACATTTCCACTTAGAGGGCGAAATGGCCCGGTGGTTAGAGCACGAAATGGCTGACAAGAAGGTCTGTGGTTCGAATCCGACCTCTGCCCCTCGACTTCTGTCTAGGTTTGGGCGACCTGACAGTATCTCAGCCCTCGTACTTCCTTCAGGTGTCATGGCAGCTATGCACCGAAAGGGTGTTACAGCTGAACGATACGATTTTTTCCATTCAGAATGTGTGTTGTTCGTTGCGTCGCTCTTAAACATTGTCCCATTTAAAATCCGCCACGCTTATCTCTAGCTGTTCTCTAGCGTAACATTCATCTTGTAAAGCATTGCGCTAGCAGTCGACACGAATCTCCAAGTACCACAGCCAAACATGGATACGCAGCAATATGATGCAATAATCCACAGCTTTTGACAGTAAAAATCTTTTGGTGTAGTTGTTAGCGATATAGTATGTATGCACTGCTTCCCGCAACGTTGCACACCCAGATCGAAAATCGAAATCGTTCAGCTGTAGCACTCTTTCGGGGCCTAACTGTCATGCCACCGCAAGGAAGCACGAAGGTTGGGATACTGTCAGGTTGCCCAACCCTAGACAGGGGAAGTCAGAGTCGTAGGATATGCAGCTTGGTCTCTCAGCATACAAAGGGCAAAAATCTCATGAGTCGAGCGTAGTGAGCAGTACACAATATCTCACCATCTCTCGGTTGGTTACAGGACGCCTAATGTGCATTTCTCTGCGTTTTAATTAAAATTCTGCCTTGACAGTTCATTTTTGTAGACATGGAACTGAATCACTGTAGACTGTCCATATGGACAATGCGCAAACGAAGTCCTCTGATGCCTGACGTAAGACATAGAATTAGGATTGCCTCAAAAGCCACGGCCTATATCATGTGCTAGGCCTTACACACTCCTATCGGGTTCATGTTTGCTACTCCTCAGTAGGCCTTCTGCAAGTATGCTTTATTCTTACGCTGTATTCCCCATCTATGTGTAGATCCTATATGGACACACCAGACAAATTACTCTTGGAATGGGACCAGTTTCTCTGCTGTTTAGCCCTTGTTGCAGGTAGTTGCTATCCACAAATTGAGTAGGTACTGATTCGTCTCACCCCTTCTGATCTGGCATCTTCGATATTTTTGTCCATTGTGAAAAATCGGCGTTCTTGCGGCGAGATGGCCCAAGTGGTTAGAGCGCTAATGACCGAAAGGTCCATGGTTCGAACCCAACCGCTGCCTCTCGATTTCCCCTGTCTAGGCTTGGGCAACCTGGCAGTATCCCAGTCCTCGTGCAACCTTCGGTTGGCATGGCAGTTAGACACCGAAAGGTTGCTACAGCTAAACGATTTTTTAAAGCTAAAACTAGGACAGGAAAAGTTAATTGTGTTGCGCTTTTGAGTTTCCAGTAATAGTAAAAAAACAAATTTTGTTTTTATTGCTCTGTTTCCAGTGTCTTCTGAGTGGACTTAGTTGACTGCGGGGGTGGATTCTATTCACTCCTTCACTTGGTTTTCTGGTGGCTCGATGCCAGAAACCAACTGGAAATTTATCCTGAGTTCAAGTTAATTCTTATTTGGATCTGGGCATATCATTCTAAATTTTCTTGCACAACTGAAAGAAGCGTATAGTCCGGTGGTGATAAATGGGCGCGAGTAATCTGATCCACTATTGAAACAGTTGGTGCGCCATCGTAACACCCCAGTGCTTTCAACAGTTTAGGGTAACCAAAATTGATGTGCCATGTCCAGTTTGGTCATTTCTAGCAAATGTTTGAGAGATATCGATTGGACGACCCGGTGATTAAAGTAGCAGTTTTGCGCCATAGTGATGAGAACAACAAATTCTGGGGTGTTATTGATCAACACGTCGATACCTTTGGATATTTTTCTTACTTTTAAGTATGTTCAGTATCATTTAGGTGCATAAAACATTATCAGAGTCACTGAGCCTGAATGACTGTCCGATATCACTGAACTGTAATGAAATGTTGTTAATATGGTCGCGAGCACAGAAACTCGAGTTTGTTTCTAAATCATCTTGCATTATAAACCATGTGCCACACATTTCTAAAAACTCAAACCCTATCCACAGTTCTGTATAGTTTCACGTTGGTTAAAGATTGTGGTAAACGACTTTCGTAATTACAGCGAAGGTGGCAAAGAAATCCTATCTCCTGTGCTTGGTCTTCCTGATTAGTATATTACAAACTTCAGTTGACGAATACATGTGTGAAAAAATGGGAAGGCCCAATGGGTCACCAGGTTAGGTGATGTTTGTGGAGCGGCATTGATCGTAGGCCAACTCAAGATGCCCAGTCGGCACAACGAGACCAGCTACAAGATCGTCGTTCGGGACATCGGGCAAGTCAACCACATCTCCCAAGCGTGAACACGCTCTCAGACGTAATTCAGGTGCGTCCAGTATATACTGGCGGAGTGGTGATAACGCACCCGCCTCGCATGTCAGATGTCTAGTGTTCGAACCCAGGCATGGCCAAGTATATGCACTCCTAATGAGGTCCAAGAAGCACCAAACTTAGTCCCAGCAATTCCTCTTTTAGTGTGAATTCACCGGAATAACTACGCCAGGACAGGAGGACTGTTCAAAAAACAGTGACACGAACGCAAATTATTGTTGTTTATCGGATTATTCGAACGATCGATTTGTATCCACTTCATAGAAATTGTTAACCTGATAATCGGTGTGATCAGCAATAAATAGAACAGGTTAAACTTTCATGGTATTGTGAAAATTACAGGAGCGTTGAGGGACAGAACTAGCCACTCCAAGTTACTGGTCCATTCAAGTATGCACTAGCTGGGGCGCACATGATTTATAAATGTATCCTCAGGGAAAAGTATGTGAATAGTTCTGCGTCTTCACCATTTTTTAACACTGCCGTATGACATCCCAGTGGTGAAAAGCACAGATATCTGCTCCCCCTAAGAACCTGGGCTATTCAGCAGGATTACCAACCGCACAATTCGGCTTTCGTTGAGCGATTGCGCTTATTAGAAGGACTGGACCGACTGCCATTCAGTTCATATCCCGTGGCACATTTCACGACTCAATGTGCTGCGTTGGAGCTGTTGGACCACATTTTGTAGGGAAAGTTCATTTGTTCAATTCCCTTAGCCAGTATAAGGAGTGCACACCGGAGGTGACCTGTACAAGTGAATTCGGCTTTTTGACATACTGGCTCACCCCAGACAAGCAAGTCTATTGCTATTTAGACAATATTCGTCCTCCTGACTTACGGGAAATTAGTCCCTCCTGAGCAATAGTGAACCAGGATTCCCAAAAGTTTAGGGATTTGACACACTGCACCCGATTAATCTAAAGAACTGTTCCCAGGACGGGGACGAAGTGGACCCTCTATGGAGAAGGTTTCTGTTGTGGGGCAGCAAGTTGGGTCGAACCGTTTTACCAGAAAAACGGGTTGTTTTTTCACCGAAAAGTCCAGGCAGCCAACC